AATTAATATACCCTTGTGCACAAGTGCGCTCGGGTATAAAAATAAAAGCTTATAAAAAGCGTCGCAATGCCACTAAAAAAAATGACTATTCAAATATCAAATACAAAAAACAGGCGAAAATTGTGGAATATTTCAATTTAAATTTTTAAAGATAAAATGCCAGAAATAAACTAATATAAATTGCAAAAATAAAAATTTAAACTAAAAAACTATACACAGGGACAAAAACAGGTACTTGGGTGTTGATTTTTTTTAATATTCACAAGTTTTTTCAAGTAAAATTTTGTTGGTTATTTTTCTACAAAAATATTGTCCTCGCGTTAGCAAAACCAAAAGAATCAAAGTCTCGGACTTTATACAAAATTTAGGAAAACTCAACAAATTTTTGAGAAAAAAGTTTTAGTTTCACCCAGCTTGAAAAAATTCCGTTGATTTTGATAGTTTTTTTGGGGTTTGCTTTTGCGGCTGTTTTAATTTAATTATGCAATTTATAAAAATTGGCATTGCTTTATTGAAATTTTGTTTCGAACAGTCTCCCTCATTTAATTTCATAAGAAATTCATGATTACATGGAAAAAAGTGCAAAAATCCGTCCGGCAAAAAAATTATTTTAAAAATCTACGTTTTTTTTTGCCGCTTGAAGCTAGCACATCATTATATTCAAATTATATAAAACTGCATAATCAAAAATGTTGCAAAGATAAAAAGATCGAAATTTTTCTGAAAATATATTGAACTTTCCTTAGTTTTTTATGAAGTTTGAATTTTTGATTTATATGGTTTTGGTTAAAGCTTGAACAATGTTTTGAAGGAAAAATAATAAACACATTTTACTTGAAAAACTTTGAGAATATTTAAAGAAACTCAACATGTGAACACTTGTTTGAGTGACTGTAGCTTTACATACCTTAAAAAGCATACAGATTTTGTAAAAAAATATAGCATTTTTGTAAAAAAATTAGATAAAAACAGTTATTTCATACTTTTAAAGTTCCGTAAATTTTTTGCCCATTTGATTTTATTGATACAATTTAGATATTTAAAAAAAATGTAAAGCTTTTTCATGCAAACTCTTTCTAAATACTTTTTAAAAATATATTTTTAAATGAATAGTTAAACATGGAAAAGCATCTTCCCCTAAAAAACTATACTGTAAAATTAATTAAAAAAATTAGTTAAATTTTCTACTGCAATGTTTTTCACAAAAGCAATAATGAATAATTTTTTTTTTCTAAACCATTAAAAAAATATCGAACAAGAATTCTTGTAAAAATGGCATCTTTATTTCTAATGAAAAAAGTGCATATACATATTTTACAAAAGCCTTTAATCTTTATTTTGTAGAAAAGTTTAAGTAAAGGTTATCAATGAAAAATTCAACCCATTTTTAATTTAAATATCAAAAACATACTTGCGCTGACTTTTAAAATAAATATTTTGGCAAACAATTTTTTTGCAAAACTTTTGGATTTTGAAAATTTTTTAGCAACAATTTTTTACATTTTCTGTTCCCTGTTAGTTCAACTATACGAAAATAACTACTTCAGAAAGAAAACTCAATATAATTGAAATAAAAAGTTTTGAAAATATTGGCTAACATAAACTAAAACAATTTAATAAGAGACCAATCAACAAATCTTAAAAACGACCACCGCTCTTACTTCTGTGGACAAGTTTCTAGTGAATACCATACAAATATTCTGCTTATAAAATTCTACAAACTCGTAAAAAAAACCATCAATAAAAATAAACCTCCACAAAATATTATTCGACAACAATTTTGGATTATCGGAGAGGGATTAAAAAATTTCCGGCATATAAAAGGTGTAATAACACCCGATCAGAGTAACAGCAACAACAACACGGAAATCATACAGATTGTAATTGTAATTCACAGCACAAGGAAATCGCAACGACAGCAACAATAAGAACAACAACATCAGCAAAGCGAGAATTGCCCATTCTTCAGCAGCAGTTCGCTTGTCTACCGCATTGTTGTTGCCGCTTGTCGCTGCATGTCAGCAGCATTCCCCCATTTGGCAAAGTGTTAAAGGTGCGTGTACCAAAGTGTTGTTGTGCAACACAAAAACAAACACAAACATTTATTGCACACTTACATATATCTATACGTATTTATTTACCGCGAATTGTTGTCACATTATTAAGTATTCGCTGTTAGCGCGCCAACACAGCAACACAAAAACAGCGAACGTTTGCTGATTTTAATCGCGCGCGCCACAAAAGTTTGCTTCAATTGAATTTTATTTATTTACGCAGCTCGATAAAAGGAATGAAATATTATGCAAAGAAAATTGTTGTATTGTAAATAAAAAATTATAAGGAATACCAATAAAAAAAAATAAAATGCAAAATTATGCATATATCAGCTGCAAATAGTAATCTTAAGCTTAGCTTGGCTTAGCCTGACTTGAATTCTGTTGTCTCGTTGCCTTTAGGCGTACGCAGCTTACAAGTGTGCGACCTCTGAGTCGCTGCCACAAAATGCCTTCATTTGGTATTCCGTTTGTCGACACGTACTCACATTTTCTGTAATTTTTTATGGGTTTTTAATTTTTTTTTGTTGTTTGCTTCTTATTTTCCATGATAATGTGTTCGATATTTTATTGGCATCAAAATGCATGAGGTGTCGTCATTTACGAGCCTTGACGCGGTTACAATTGAACACTTTTGGGTTGGTTATTTTTATGTGTGCTTTATTCTTTGTTTAATATCAAATAGTTGCGTATGGGTGTGCGTTAAGTGGTACATATGTAAAAATCTAGCTTGCGTGGTTAACTTAATGGCTGATTGTTTTCTGAGTAAATGAGTATTCTGTGTACCCTGTAGGAAAACCAGCTAGGCTAAAAACGGATGTTCATCAAAATTTTAAAATAATGACCAAAACCAGTAAAGTCTCACCTCCTACGATTGCTCTATATCAAAACAACACACCCTTATTTTTTTACTTTGAAATAAAAAAAAATTTAGAGGTCGCTCAAAGCGCTCAAAGTTTTCCATGTATTTTATATGGGAAAAAACATTTTTTATAGAAATGGTATGGAATTCTTGAAAATCAATATGTTTTTATCGGAAAACTCTGGTTCTCTTCAGGGGACTCCCAATAACAATACCCAATTGTTTATTTTACCATATTTCAATATTAAAAATTTTGTATTTTCCCCCATGGTATTTTCTGGCATTTGCTGGGGGTTTTGGAGGACCTATAAAATATAGTTACTATTAAAAAAATGGGTAAATGAGGGATGCGGTTTTCTTTTCTTTGATCGTATTGGCTATGCCTTTCCTTTCGATTTGATATTTTCCACGTGTCCTCTGCCTGTGTTGAGAAAGGTACCATATTTGCAATAACCATCCCAGCTGTGCGGTACTGCTGCAGTTGATGTATGCTTTCACTTTGAGTTAATCAGGCCAAACAGATTTCGCATACAAAATAGTAAAACTAACTACCCTAGGAAGCACCAGTCTTCTACTTTCCCCTCTAATATTAAAAAGTATTCGAAAGAGCAATATACATTTTGGAAGCTTTTTAGCAGCTTACACGGTATATGCCCGGTTACCACACCAAAGCTGTGGATCTGTTGTGATGATTTAATCACATGCTTCCCTACTGTGGAGATAGCTGTTTCTGGTTGCTTATCAGAATGGCTCCTGTTTTCTCCTTGGCTAAATAAACGCTTATCTTGTTAAATTGGTCTATTTCGAATAGGAATGCCGTGTTGGCTTTGCTTTCCACGAGAAAAATATGCTCGGTTACGAGCACAAGTGCTCTGGTGTCAGTATTTATTATATAGACTGATCATCTCTTAAGTGAGTTGAGAATGTATTCCCGGTCCATAGTATAAAACACGTTTATGGCAGTTTTTACTTTCTTATATAACATAAATAAACTAAGGGGTAGCACGAGAAATCATAAGCGTAAAATAAGACCATCCCTGATGCCAACAAAGCAGCTATTTTGCCGAAAATTAAAAAAGCTTTTGTTTGCCTGCATCAAAACTACATTTCAATGACATACTATAAAATAAGATATCTGAAATCTAATCAGTTACTACAGTTTGACTGACTATTTAGTTAATTTCAAGGCTACACTTTATATTTAAAATTTATAAACGCAAAACAACACACGGCAAACATGATTTATAAAGAAGATGAAAGAATGCCTGCACGAATGTTTTATTTGCATAAATATACATTTTTAGGCCAGTTTAATATTAGTGTACCCTTTGGGAGTTGATAATGAAAATTTTTCAAGGAAATGTATGTTCGGAAGAGGCTTAGCTAAAGTCATGACTTCCGTGATTCCCAGAATTTAAGCCAAACGTAAATTTTTTCATCTATATCATTTCCAGACTTAGAAAACTCCACTAAAATAAATTGTTTCAATATTTCACCTACATACGTATGTATATATATATATGTATATGTACAATGTGTCCGTGCGCATTAGCGTTTACTCCCACCAAGTTTGTGTCTTAAGTCTTTTGTTTCAATGTCGTCTGGTCGCTCATGGGTGTGGGAAGGTCTTAATTTTAAGTAGGCTATGAATGTCTTATGGGACATTTTTAAAGATTTAAATGCAAAATGTAATAACTATGAAAACAAAGAAAAAACAAAAAAACAAAAATGCTATAAAAAGAAACCAAGTTATTGACATAACGATTACTTATGCAAGAAAATTAAAATGCAATAACGAACTCTCATGTCAAGCGACATCAAATGCAACGGAAATGCATAAATATGATTTCATTAAAAACAGCATGGGATTGCATGTAATTTTTCAGCAACGCACTGAATGCAATTGGAAAACCAGAGGTAATAAAAAACAGCACTTTAACATTAAAATAGTATCATACTTGTAATGCGTATTAGTAGGTAGTTTTGTCAAGTTAAACTCAATTCTATTTTATTACTTGTCTCAGCCCACAATTAAACACCTGTTAAATGTAATTGAGATAACGCGCACGCAGCTCATGTGAAATAAATGCAAAAAGCTTGAATAGCAAAAACTCGGCTCAATTGCTGTTTGACTGCCATATAAAGAAAACCAAAAATTATTCGCGTGTTGCCAAAAATTGAAAAATTATCAAAACATGTTTACAAATCGTCGCATGCATGTCAACTGTGTACGATTACAGATTATTTTTGTGTGTATATTTGTTTCGAGCTTGTGCTAAACACGCTGCGCTTGCGTTGGTGTCGCTTTGATTACACGCTTGCGATTGCGGCTGACTTTCACGCTGCCACACGTACTGTCATAAGCTCTTTCCATATATAATTCACGTTTGTTTTGCGCGAGTTTTTCAAACGAAAAACTTAATTTGTCAACTGGTTTTTTTCGGTATCTGCAATTTATCGCCTAGTATAGCCAATCGCTTAATTGACTAATTTAACGTTGATCAAAATGTGCACGCTTGAAAACGCATTTAATTGCAGCAGTTTAGCGCTTAAGCGAAGCTTAAGCTTTGATTGCTCGTACTACGGGTGGTATTTCCAGTAGCTTAAGCTGATTTGTGTGTGGTTAGAGGCGATTTAAACAGGTTAGGTGCGCTGCGAGGAGGAGATTTTTTGCCATGAAAAATTGTTTTATATAAAAAGTATTTGACTTGCCTTCGACTTGTTTACTTTATGAAAAAATGTTAGTATTAAATTATATTACTATCGGCAGTTGAATAAAAGAAAGGAAAATGTATATATGTATGTTTATGTCGAAATCTTAACTTTTACCCGAAAGAAGATTTTCTGACATTTACTTTTTAAAAATATTTTCATTTAAATTTTTACGCGATTAATGTTAGCTTCCAATGATTGGATCATAACTGGCTTATCGACGAAGACTCACACGATAACTTCCTGAAACCAAATGTTGTCGACATCGCAGGATTCAATTTCAGGCAACAAAAAGTTCGTTATCATAGTGCAGTGGCACTCGATGTTTGCGTTTTTTTTGTCGGCCGCTAACATTTGAATGAAATTATTTAAAAAATAAATGTGAGAGATTCTTTTTTCAGGTGATAGTTATGATTACGACATGCAGTTCTGTTTCAAGTGTTCAAGTGATTTAAAACTAGCAAATACCCGCCGTATTTCACTGCAGCTTAAAAGTATTTTTGTGATGTTACTCCCTCCGTAAACACTTATGGCCTCATTCATAAAAAATAAAATTAAATTAAAGAACTTTATGATGTGAGATTTTCAAACAAATTTTCAATTTATGAAGAATTTTTTATGAATGTGGGTGTTAATTTATATATTTTTGAAGGTACTTAGAAAGTAGGTAATGTACCGATTTTCTCATTCGAATCAAATTATAGTATAATTCGAGTCTACATATCGCGCTTTCTTCAAAGGTAAACTAATTATTCAAATAGATGGCAACCCGCTGCAATCATATTTTCAAAATAAACCTTCTTAAACCTATTTGATTTAATACCTGCATTATTTTATCAACTTAATTGAATACAATTTTTCAAACCTGTGGAAACCCTCCTAAAAAATATTTTCGGCGTTATACTTTCCTAAGCCTCTTTAGTTATATTGACAAGTTTGGAATTTTGCATCAATTAAATATAATCCTTTACCAAGCTGTGGCTTTATTATTATTTCCACTTCATAAATATTCATAGAGTTTCTTAAGGCTATTACAAGTGAGAGTGCGAAATATTTTGTCGTACGCGCTGATTTAGCACAAAATCAATAACAACCAGCCAACTAGGTAGCCAGGCAGCCAATCGAAGTGGCCAATAGGGGAACCAGTCCAAGAAAAAGCAATCAAATGCGGCTGCATTCATCACCCGCTGGGGCGACAGCAACCGACTGCCAGCTGCAATTAAGTCGCCTTCGAGCGAAGCAAACTCAAGTTGACGCTGTTGTTGTCGCCGCTACCATTCACGCCACCGTAGCTATTACCATTTGTTGTTACTATTTTTTAATTAAATTTCTAGTTACAAGTAAGGCAAAGTAAAGCAATGCATTGCCCGTTGAATGGTGTAGTCGTTGTTGCGGTGATTTTTTTTATGCAGCGACGCAATTTTC